CATGAAACCAGTCATACGGGGTGTGCTTCGGAGGGCACTGCTGTCTTATAATATCACAATAGTATTACAATGTTATCATATTAACTGTAAATCTTGATAGTGTTGTTTTGTGCATTTGAACATTTTTATTAAGTTTGTGCATTATATACCGGTACAATGTACATGTACATTACACATGTACACATTTATGAAATATGCCCCCAACACTGCACAAGACATTGCTTAGTAATGTATTTAATTCAACCATCTTGCTCATGATATTTGCATGAAGCTCCTTAAAATTTGCTTAGAACTACTGCACCTGAGGCCGAATGATACGTTAATGCATTTTTGCCATTTATAGTCAGGTTAGAGTGCTGTTTAATACTTGTAGCACATGGATCAGAGCGTATGTGACCATGTACATGTACATGGCTATAAACAGACAGCAGAAACTGGCCCTGCGTGGGAGATGGGATGATTTGACCAATGATTGCAACATCATGCTTTCCTTTAATTCCCTCTGTAGCATCATCCAGGGGGTGGGGGGATTGCTCAAATAACTGGACCCCCCCCCGGAACAAGGTTACCTCTTGTGTTTCACAGTAGCATCTTATTGATATTAAAGGGCCACTCTGTGTGGCAGCCGAGCATGACGTGACGGGACAAGTCTGGTCTACAGACCCCTCTGGGTACCGGGAACAGGGGGGGGGGTCTGTTGGCACCAGGGCGTGGTTTATCTGAGAAAATGGAGACAGCTCGTTGGATAGGGAATTAAAAAAAAAATAGACAGGGAATGGCTTTGCGGCATGCGGTGTATGACAATATACATGTCCCGGTACATGCTTGATTTGATTCATAAGGTAAAGGGAGATGGGCAACGATAGGTTTTGCAGCAAGATGCAGAATGACCTTTTACGTGTTTATTGTGGAGTCTTTTTTCATAAAAATGACACTCCCATTTTGTAGACTGAGCAATTTTGTCTTGAGTAAGCCCACACGTGCAGCTGCAAAACTACATGTAGCATTCGTATGGGGACTCCTGGCTGTTCTGAGTTGGGACAAAGCTACTCGTTTGAACTGGCGATGTTCTCACTGCAACTTGGTCACGTACCAGTATGGCACAGATCACTTGGCTACATCTTATACATGTACATACTGGTACACTGTATACAGTACATGTGTATGTAATGTACAGTACATTTGAGAAAATTGCTCCCGTAACTTACTGTAGCAGTCTGGTCCCGGCCGATCACTCGGGGGTGGCGGTCCGTCTACAAGTGAAGGGGAATTGGAAGCCGAATCAATGCAGGAAAAAGAAGATGAGAGCAGCGAGAGAGATGGACGGCGACGGGAATAACTACTGGAGCCTCACTTCCGTAGGATTAGCCCGCTATTTTTTCCAGGGCAAAACTGAGACAAACTCCTGCCTCAAATAGCCTCCACCCTGTCTGTGACGCCCGCTATTTTTTCCAGGGCAAAACTGAGACAAACTCCTGCCTCAAATAGCCTCCACCCTGTCTATGACACCATTTTGTAGCAGTATACCCTTGGCTGATCGCACGGGGGTGGCAGTCCGTCCACCACTGAAGGGGGATTTGAAGGCCGAGTTGGGGCAGGAAAAAGAAGAGAACGGTGAGAGAGCGCGAGATGAACGGAGAGGGGAATAACTGCCGGAGCCTCACACTTCCAAAGGAGTAGCCTGCTATTTATTCCAGGGTAAAATTGGCTTAATTAACCCCAGGCCACACAGGAGTCTGAAAAACGTCTAGCCCATACACCCTGTTGTATCGAAAAAGTATAACAAGTCAGGCCAAACAGCATAAGTTGCACCAAAAAGTAATTTGCTGTAAGTCACTTTCGGCCAAATACAATCATGGGCCTGTCCAAAATCATGCCCTGCACACATGCAAAGTTTAAGGTCAAATTATTAACTAAATGATAATGGGGGAATCCCCAGCTTACTACATTAATAAGCCTTTTGTGAGTTAAATTTGAATAAAATCTGATACACTGACTTCTTTAAATTCACATGAACATAACAATTGGAATTCTCCATACTAAAGCCACTGTTGCTATACATATACCGGTACCTCGTGATTCGGGGGAAGCTTTTCCTTAGTGACATAAAAGATGCCTGGCAACAATACACTGTTCTCAATGGAAAAGAAGGGCCCAAAGGAACCAGTCCATTCCAGAGATGGTAGTCACTAAGAAAAAGCTTGCCCCAAATCACAAGGTACAGGTACATGTACTGTACATGTTTAGCAACAGTGCCCTTAGTCTGGGGAATTCAAATTGTTATGTTTATGTGCAGTCATATAACTCAGTGTACCAGATTTTATTCAAATTTAACTCGCAAATGGCTTATTACTTAGGAAGCCCATTTCATGGACATACAGGTGCACTTTTTGTACAGGCTTTAACTTTTTGTGGGTTAGATGTAATCTTCTTTTTCTTAAAAAGTTGTTCTAGGTTTCCTTTTTTTGGTGTGATTTTGCTATGTTCTTTTTAACTTCTCATTGCCTGTTTAGTATGTGAAAGGCTGAAATGGAATTTCCTGTAAGGGATAATAAAATTGAATGAAAAAAAAGTAAAAGAGGTAAATGTACATGTACATGCATGTGTTAATATTCCAAGGAGTGATTTGTCAGTGACCTCAGTAGTATTTTTTCTCAGGACCACAGTACTCCCTTTATAAACTCTCTTTCTCATTCTTAATTTCCAGAAAAACGGATGGTCAATAAGTACCGGTTATGTTGTATTTTGAAATGAATTTAATTCTTTTAGAAAAAGCTTGGAACAAGAATGGTACATTTGATCCACTATCTGCATGCATATAGACACCTGACCATTCAGATCATTGGAGGTGATTAACAAACATGTACGGTAAATCCGTCTTTCCTTTCCGTAAGTCAAGCAGAAATAAACACAAAGTTTACATTTCATTTTAATATCTGGTACCTGAACTTTTTACTTTTAAAAGGCACCTTATCAGTTTTGTTTTTATATTCATATATAAAAAGCCTGCAGTGTCATTGTGTTAATTCAAATACGTGTATTTTGCATGCCAAATCATTTCCAGAGAAAGTTATTAAGAAAGAAATTGATCAGTAAATTAGAAACTACATGGAAGCATTTGTTGTTAGCACTGAAGTTGTACGTCATACTACATCAACTTAGTTGACATGGCTATGAATTGTTTATCAAAATTAAGCGCAACTATCCCTTTAACAATTTCCCCTCCAACCAAACTCCATAGATCCCCTCAACAACGGACGTCACTGCCTGCACCAATTTATCTCCAGCGTGCGCACGTCGACGCGACATGCGTGTGAAGTTTTTATTAGGAGGCGCGCAGCAGTATGACCCCCCGAGGCTTTGTCCTATTGATACGCTCGCCTTTGACGATGGGGGTTTGTATGTATGTCTGTATTTAATGAAGCAGTTGTGCAGGAGTGGTAAACAGGCACATACATGGAGACAAACGGAAAGACATTTAGACGCATGACAATCGGTATGATTAAAGAGTATTGGCATGTGGGATTTAACACACTGTACATGCCAAGTAATTGCTCTGCATCTACAGCCAATCAATCGAAACTGAAAATAGGAAGAAATCTGAGGAGTAAAGGACAAAATATCTTTCCACTTTCACATTCTGCAACTTGTTGTACTTTTTTAATGTACGTGTGCATGTGTAGAAAGGTTTATTTCATGTTAAACAAAGAAACAAAATGATGTCAACAACCAGAAGAGAAGGCAGTCTACATGTACGGTGTACATGTACTTGACAAAACTTTATAGAGCTACACGAAATTGCCCGGATGTTTCACCAAACCAGAAGCATTTTTATTAAGAAAGTCTCCAAACACATATTTACATGCACCTGTAGAATACTGAGAAAAAGAGAGAGTAAATAAAAGATTGTGAATATGAATATCTGACCCAGGAGCTTACCTACATGTACAAGTTTATGCATATGGATACTTGAATGTGAGAAATTCTTCATACAATGTACATGTACATGCTTCAATGTGGTAGTCTACTGACTACGTACACTGAACATGTACTGCAATACCAGCGTTTCACAATAGTGCACCTCCAAGAGTTGGCAACACATTGGCCAATCACAATGCGCAAATTCTGTCGACCAATGCACGTTTGAAAAGGGTCGACAGATTTCGCACGTTGTGATTGGCCAACACTATTTTGACATCTTTTGTACATGTGTACTGTGTATAAAATACCGCTGGCTTTAATGTACATGTACACTTAACATACATGTACTGTACATGTATACGTGTATACATACAGTTACAGTAGCTTTGTACATACATGTACATGTATAATCGTGTATAAATTAGATAATTGCACACTTGTACATTGTACAATACATTGTACATGTACAGATATGAAAGTGCACTATCCACATGATCTACCAGTGTACTCGTTTCATGTGAAGGTCATCAATTTATAAAGCTATTACTGTGGCAAATGGGTTATCCAGCACTGACAGACTTTGACAAATTGTGGCCTGAATTTACAGCATCCATATATTTGGTGGGGTCTATGGTTTCCCCATAAACTGGCTGCTGATCAGGTAATCAGGAATGAGGTCACAAGAGGGCATCTAAAGTCTAGCAGTCCATCAAAAAAGGATTAGATGACAGTTGAAGTAAAGGAGGCTGTTCTTCCTGGCTGCATTTGAAAATCTGGAGGCTTTGATTTGTCTTGAGGGTAGTAAAAATTTATGTATAGTCGGCATAATAAGTAACCTGGTTCTTTGTGGTGAAAACACTGAAATCTGAAGCCTTTCTTAGGGGTCAACTCTGAAATTGTGTGCTCTTATGGCTTAAGTGAAATTCATTGTTAAATGTAGAAATGATGACCAAAATGTGCCCAAAACTTCAGACCACAGCCTTTGAAAAGATTTCAGAGATTTTCATTAATCTTGCATTAATTGTTTGTCATTTTCTGTCTTTTTTCTTCCATGTGTTGGTTTTCCGTATGGACAACAGGAAATCACCAAAGGTGAGTGATGAATATCACTGTGTCCAAACTTTGTGGCTGTGACTGGAAATAACATAAATGTATTTCTATGGGTGTCCCATAGAAGTGTACATGTACATGTATGTTGCTCCTAGCCACTGCCAGTTGATTTGACACACTGTTATGTCTTTTGAAGTTATTCAACAAGCAAGCAGATTTGTCAAGAGTACAATGTAGCCACATTTATGCAGTTTTGCCAGTAGTTGTACACCAAGTGGTTTTCAACTTGCTCGGCTTAAGTAGTGTTTTCATGTACATACATAAAGTTGTTGAAATCATGTTCATGATGGCATGCAGGTACATGTACAGGTTTTTCCCAAACTGTTCCAAAAGTTGTTTTTGATTGCCACAATTCAAAACTGGTGACTGACATGTATCACTTGTCGATTGCTCTGAAAGCCAGGTTCTAATGCACAGAAACAGACCCAGTATCGAATCCCAGTCCACCCTTAAAAAGGTCAGTCCCGAGTCCCATGCTATGAGAATACTAGAGACAAGATTTGAATTCACCAGGGTGACGACAGATGTCTCAATCGAACTGAAATCTCTGACGTCAAGAAACTCTGATTCGCCGTTGTGCGGTAAGCATGGAATCCTGGCCCCTTTGATTGAAAACCTTTCCACGATTGAAATGGCTTCCTTTCATTGACCTACCGGTACCTACACATACCACACTCACAAGAGTTAACCTTCCCTTCTCCCCCTTCTCCCCCTTCTCCCCTCTCAGTCATTTTTGCTGGACTTGCTTTCCTTCATAATCTCAGTTCAGGGGCACCTAGGAAGAAATCTCCATGGACTGTTAGCCCACACATTAATGCCGAATTATTTTTCCCGTGAAGAATTGTTTAAGCTTTTCACTGTACATTATTTCGTCAGGAGATCAAAGTTAATTTCTAGCATCATTTGGCAATGGACTATGTTAATTTGGAGCAAGCCACACAGAATTATTATTTGCACAAATTTACTGTACAGAAACAACGGCATTAGAAATGGTGCACGTAAGGAATATGTACACGGACATTACTTACATGTATGAGTGTGCTAACCTTACATATGGTACCTACCAGTATTGTGGACTTGTGAACAAAAGATGTCCACACAATGAAGGAAAGGGAGACATTCTGTGGACTCACACATGTCCACAGGACGTTTCTCCTCTGAAAAAGAAGTTTAGAGGCATTTTGGGGTCAGGATCATCATTGTAAAAGGAAGAGGAATAGTCAAGGAAACCTTGTACAAAAAGCCAGCTGAAAATCGTGTTCCCAGTTCAAGAAAACCAAGTATTTTCACTGAGTTTTTCTTAACTGCACGAAAAGAAAAGAATATCCACTCAAGGTACAATGTACCGGTACATGGACCAACACATGTATGTAAAGTACATGTACATGTAAGTGTGGGTGTACATGTACATACAGTATGTACATGTACGTGTATGTATGATATGGAAAAACTGTCTGCCTTTGGGCAGATTAAAGATTGGATCACCCAATGTTCCCCCCTCAAAATTCTTTTTTCTCTGACACATACATTGTTTTGGTACATTGTTTTGAATTTGAAATCTCTAAATTCTCTTGTCCAAAAACTTTTAACTTTTCGGGTTTATGATGTCGCTGACCTTTTTTTGATAAAGAGTGTTTGCAGTGTTTTGTAAACATGTATTTTATTACAAACTCTATGTAAACAGCTAGGAAATGAATACCTTTATACTGGTAAATGAAAATTACTCAAATGTACACATGTACATGTACACTGCATGTATATTAATACCATTGGGCATCTGTAGTCACATATAAATGTACATGTACTTCTTATTTTATGATTGCCTGGCAATTATTTCAGTGTCACCAAAGGAATATTTGTTATGAGCGCATACATGTACATGTACCGGTATACATGGGGTACTTACCGTACCAGCACATGTATGTCAGTGGTTTCATTACATGCAGGTGAAATATTTAGAAACTGTGCAGTGGAAGGTATTTCAAATCCAACAGCATGAATGCTGTGTTCAGTAGTTCGCAGTTGCGATGGTAATATGGATTCACATCTTGAAGTTAAACTTGCATTGGTAATGAATCATTCAATCATTGTTGCACCGGTACTGATATGTGTGCATGTACATGTGTGATAGAAAAAGACCCCCCCCTGGCCCCCTCCCAATTTAAAAAAAAATCCTAAGTCCTTTTTGACACGAAATCAAATTACTTCCAAAGCATAAGCACAGTTTTTCCAAGCGACGGCCAGAACTTGCATTGCAATAACTTTTGTGCTTGCATGCATGTTTATGCTTTGGACTGTAATGTACCAGTACATGTACATGTAGTTAGTACATTTTATATGGTGTACATGTACATTAGGCGTTGCTGTCCATTAAGCACTAACAGTCACATTTTGTCTCTTTTTCTGATAGCGTATGGTTGGTACATTGTACATATACATGCAAAATGTGGTTGGCAGAAAAAAAATCATGAGCTTTTTGAGAACATTACGGATCCAGCACCTCAGTGAATTGTCAACAGAGACAATGGTGCCTTCTTCCTTTTGATCTGATTTCTGCAGGCCTTGAGTGATTACGGTACTACCGGTACAGGCTTAATCAAGTTTGCCTGTAAAATGCAAGATTACATGTACATGTACGGTACATGTACATTCTCATGGAGGAAAGTTTAACTCATCCTCATATTTTTTTTGTGCAGTGATAACTACACACATCCATATACATAGTATTCTGCCTTTTGTCATTGTATTACATGAATTGCAAGGCCTTTCATTTGAAGGAATCAGCTTGATGTCTTACTGTCAAAGATACTGGTAAAGTCTTTTTGTAGTATTCCAAATCTTCTATTGATTCCAAGAAATGTTAGCAGCTTGCTACATGTACTGGTACTTGTACATACCGGCACTGTAGGGCCTGACTGCCGACTTGCCACTGTGAGTCTCACCCCACATTCATCCTAGGCAACCTGCACACATCATCAACTCCCTCCCAGGTTCCCCGAGATCTGTCTCTGATAACGACTCTTCTGCTTCTCCCCCAATCTATCAAAATCCCTTATCGTTATTTATCCAGTCGTTTCCTCTTAACATGCGATTCCTTCTTACCCACGTCTCTATCCACAAAGTAAAATCACGGAGAAAAAGAAGGGAAAAAAAAGGCATGGCTGACCCCAAGCTACTCTTGCCTGAGGTTTCTCTTCAATTTGGAGGGATGTGTTCATCGGCGGCACTTCTCTTTGATTTTCTTTTCTTCGGGGGGAGGGGGAGATGGTTTCGGGGATGCATCCAGAATTGGTAATTGGGTGACTCGGAGATGCAGTTAGCGGTGGGCTTGGGAATGTTAGTATTGGGTCTTTTTTATCGTCAGTATTAGAAAGCCAGACCTTGTGGTTTGTCTCAAGTTGTAACCTGGGATGTGTCATTGAATGTGTTGCAGAGTTTATGATGGGATGCATCCTAGTTTATGTGTATGGGGTGTGCTTTAGGATTTGTTGTGTGATTCGTTTCTCTGTTATATTTTTTTGGGGGGGTCTGTCCTGGAGGTGTGGTCGGCATTTTACCGAAAGTTGTCTTTCTCAGCGATGTCTTTCGCAGTCTTGTTTTCTTCTTCTAATCCTTATCTTGGTCTGTCATGTCATGCCTTTCTCAGGGGTTTGACTAAATGTCTCACATTGGCGAAGTCTTGGGTCTGCAGTTTGATTTTTCACAGGGTCTGCCCCTTTTCCTGAAGAAGGATTTTGATTGGTCCGTGTTGGAATTTGTGTTTATATCTGAATGCCAATACTGGTAATGTGTGACATGTACATGTACTTTATTTGATTATGTAGACCATTTGCAAGAAAAAATATCATTGTTGCTATTGTTTGTGACTCTTTCTGTTTCTTTCTACATGTATGGCTTTGACCAATCACAGTTCAGGGCAGTGCAGTGGATGATAAAACTCCAGCTCTTCAAATCATCTCTTAGCCTTCAGATGGATTCACATGTACATGTACATACATGTATATCAAGGCAGCTGGAAGAGACATTACCATCAGAAATGCCAATGTTCTGCCATGGCTTGTGCAGAATGCATCCCCACAGTATTGTCGCTTGGGCAGTTTTGCATGATTGGAAATTACACGCTTGGAGATTGCATTATCCAGACAGTATTAGGGACTGTATGGAGACCCAGTTGCAGATATACTGTACAGTGCTGTGTTCAGCAGGTGGAGGTACCGGAACATGTACACGTGCGCTGAATGAAGATTTATGTTACTCAACACTGTTGGCCATTCTTCACTTAAGTTTATATATACATTTACATGTAACCCTGTCATATTTGCAAGCAACCTGCCTGTTCAGTGTCACATCTCATGTGTAATCAATCCCCTGTAAAGTAATAGACCGGGGTTTGATTACTCCAGGTTTTCCTGTGGATTTCAGGATTTGGACTACATGTACCAGTGTCGAGATTTTTGGAGGTGTACTCATTCAGATTTTTCTTCGTTTGTTTGCACATTATAGAAATCAACAAAGTGCAAGATTCCCTTATCCCTAACTCCCTAGGGTGTGTGCAAAATCATATTAAAATTGGAGGATTCAGGGCTGTTTGGTTAATGATATTCATTTGGGAGATGATCCCTTCTTTTAGTCAGTAAAGCTATGGAAAGGCACAACATTCTTGTTTTGTCATCCACAGGATTTTTCTTTCACATCTCTCTCCACACCCAGTCTACATCTAGCCTCCTCAATCCTACAAAGTCTTTTCGATTTTCCCAATGAATTTTGAAGGACACTGTAGGGCTACCGGAAGGGTTATTGTCAGAATGTGAATGCCGATGTGATGTGCATGTACGTGTAGAGTATGTTCATACTGTACATGTACATGGACCAGCCCTAGATCTTCATTGAATTTCCTTCCCCCATTACCACAAGCCTTAACCCCATTGCTTCTTGAAACATTAGAAATTAAATTTTGAGTAAAATCGTCCTTGATGGTGAAAAACTCGCATTTGTCAAAACTATGTGTACATTGTACTGGTACCTGTATAACAAAGAAAGGACTACACCCAACTGCTTAAAATGCCACTACAGTACAATGTACATGTACATGTACATGTACACCTACCGTACATGTGATGTATACTGTACATGTATGTGTACATGTGCATGTACAGTATGTACATGTACACATACATGTACAGACATTGACATGTACAGTACGTGTACAGACACTTATGCTTTTAAAAGCAATTTTCCAGGAGATACATGTACTGGTACAACAAATAAAAACTCTTAGTCTCTTTTATACAAATTGAGTACTCCTTCATCAAGTCAGAAATTCTTGGAAATGGTGTACCTTTAGAGCCAAACTTTTAATTTCAATTTAGTTTTGAACAAATATTTATGAGAATTAAAATGTCATTTTAATCTTCATTAACAGTAAATGTTCAAGTTATACAAATTTGCACAGTACGCACATGTACGTACATGTACCTGCATCTTTTAAAATTTCTAGAATTCAGCCATTTTCTGTACATTTTCAGGTGCAGATTTACAGTATTTATTCAGATGCTTACCATTGCTGTCGCAACCAAAGCCATAAAGTTTTATGATTTCCGATTTTTACATGTATCTCCTCTTTGTTATCCTGTCTTTTTTCAGACCTTTGCCTTCGACCATTGTTTCCTCTCCATGGATGAGAAGAATCCCAAATTTGCAGGTAGGTCCATCCATCATCCACAAGAGACAATATCTTGTCAAAAGGGAGCATACGTGTACATGTACATGTAGATGACCTCATTAACACAGGCCCTGGGGATGTTGGTTCTGTAAATATGGAAGCGAAAGACATATCCAAGTCTAGTGTTTGGTTTAGCGGACGTGCTGCTGTGGGCACTTGCTTGCGTGTTGATTTTTTTTCACTGCTTATGAGGGCCAGCAAATGTTGAGTTGTTTCAGATCATGGAAATAATTGGTATGAGTCTTAAAATTAAACTTACTTGCCAGAATTTCACACTTGCTGGTACTTGTACAGTACATGTACTTTGGGTCCTTATCTCACAGAAGTACATGTATATTGCTTGGCAAAAACTAGTCTTGCCCCAAGATTGGTTTTACTGTTTTGGCTGGTGTGCTGCGCAGGCGACATGCACTGGCAAGCACATGGCCGAATAGCACTACCAGTAGAGGGCGCTCTATTCACAAGAGGCAACCTGCCAGAAAACCTGGATAAATAAAACTAAACATAAATTGAGCGGTATTTGAGAAATTACAGAAGTTTATTCTTGAAGACATAACATTTGTCAGATTAACAAACACTTTGTTTCTTAAATATGAAAACTAAATCCAAAACACAGTTGAAAATTGCCTGTGTTTACTAAATAATACATGTACAGGTACTCTTGGTAGGTTACTTTTAGAAACTTTCATTACCTCTAAAAAACAATTCCAGAGTAGATAACACTGAAATTCATTTCAAGAAAAAAAGGAATGTTTGTCACTGGACAGACATCACATATGTCACATGGACAGAACATTTTTGTGGTGTTTGAATCAGTCCATAAAAAACAGAATTGGTCCTCAACCAAACTTGTTTGTTTTCAGTTTTCAAAATCATTTTTGTTAAAAGACTATTAAATTTCAGCTAAAATGAACACAAAATTTTTCTCAATGAGTAACGTTTGCTACATGGACAGATGTAATGTTTGTCGCATATCATAACTTGTGGACAGACAGTCTTCTCACTTTCATTTCAGCAAAATGAACCGACTTTTTCTAATGAATTGTTCATTATTTTATTTAATTTGGTTTGTAATAAATGTATGTACTAGTAAGATAAGTCTTCTAAGATTTTGACATTTACATGTAGATGGAAAAACTAGTTGTGACAAACGTTATAAAATGGTGGACAGACATTTGCAATTCTTAAAATCAAATGTTACATGTACATGTACTTTTATCGTCTGATAGAAAAAAGATAAACATGATGTAAACTATAATTGTAAAAACTTTCCCCAGGAAGATGTGTATTTTTGTTTGAAGGTTATCTGTTCTTAAAGAAATGGCAAATCAGCCTGTTTCATGTTTGTCACTCTGTGGACAGACGCCGTGACATATGTTATTCCCTAATTACTTCTCCTGAAATTCCTGTTTAAGATGATGAAATAAAAAGCCATAGATTTTGACACATTACTCAAATGTTATACCTGTAGTACCCATGTTTTAACAGATAAATTGCTTTTCTCTGTAAGAGTGGTATTTTAGATTACCTGAAAAACATGAGCTGACACAGTAACATGAATGTGCATGTCCCACCGGAACCCCTAAAATAAACTGGACATTTTTATCAAAATCCTGATTATTTTAACAACAAAAAACCCAATCCTATTAAATTGTGTAAACAATATCTCTACAATTACACAAATATACATGTAAGTAAAATTGTTAAAGTTTCTTGACTCTCAACACTATTATTAAAGATATAATTTGGTTATGTGCAAATGTGTTCTTTTGTGCAGAGAGACCCATGTAAATTTTGCTTAGCTTTGTTACTATAGTGTTTTATGCATAATTTACATGTACTGATACATGTACATAGTTTTAAGTATGCAATCCACACAGCTGTTGTGTTGCACTGTTCATAATCTCAATTGAATTCTTTTTCCCTCAAAAAGGTAAATGAATTAAAAGAAAAAGAGTCCACACCCTTTGTCCTTGGATCTGGAATCTAATTATATGAACAATAGTCCCAGCCGTCTGTTGGCAGGAGAGGAATTGATTGTTGGAGAACTTGACTGAAAACATCTTCTTTTCATTACTGGATTGAAAAGATTAGATGGAATGGAGCAACTCCCAGGGAAGATATGTTTCCGTGGTAAAAGACGGCCATGTTGTGCATTGTTTGTTTGAGCTCATTTATCATCTATTAAATGCTTATGTACATGTACATGTTATTGTACATGTACACATACAATACATGCACCGGTATGTACATGTACATGGTACTTGCACGTATACCTGTAAATGTACATTTAGCGGTACGTGTGGTTACTCAATGTGTAGACTTGTATCTTCAGATTTTATGGCCCAGACTGTTGTTTTACGAGAACAAAGCACTATTTTTCAACATTTGATCTTCCATTCGCACTAGCTCTGCAGTGATTTGTGACAGCTGTTGCACACTTAATGGTACATGTACATGTACTCCCACAGAATGTACATGTACGTGTAGAAGATGACGTGCTGCAGTAATTCTTGAATCTGCTTGTTGATTGACGGTACCCCCCAGTATACAATGTATGTACTGGTATTTTGATAAAAATAGTCTACATGATAAGATACATTTTGGAGGGAGGATAATAATGGTCAGTAACATTTTATCAAATCACTGATTTTCAGAACTGTCATGTCAAGATAAAAATGTTCCACTGGTACTTTTGGCTATCCAGTAAATTGGCTCAGCATCATGTTGCTAATGTACAAATGTACCAGTACATTTATACAAGTTCATATCATCTGGATCTACAGTGTACATGTACTTGTACATGCACATGCACATGTACATTTACATATGCTCGTTATGAATTCTGGAAATGAGAACTAGCATTAATTACATGATTCAAGGAGATTCAGGTGTGATTAATCCATACAGGAGGGACTTTCTCGGCATGCAGTAATGAGCTCCATGGGAATGTGAGGACTTTAATTAAATAAGATACAGTGCCCTGTTTGTCATTTATTTCACCAAGTGTCTCTACAGCGTGAAGTTCATTAGTTCATGAGCAAGCTACCACAACTGAAAATGTTGATTTAGGACTTGCCGTCGAGCATGGCTGGCATTTCACAGTTTTAATCAGTGGTGTCTACTGGTACTTTTGTCTAATCACCTTAGCAGGTGAGGTTGAAATGCTTGTTGTCGGGTAGCACTGAGACAGGGGTAACTGCTCAATTGACGCATTGGTTCCTGGCAATGAGGACATGCCTCAGTTGGCAAAGGTTGGCCAAGAGGGCACTTGCCTTTGATGGGCATTCTGTGCATAAAAGAGGTTCCTGTACAAGTACAGACACATGTACATGTACATGTCCCCCATCCGGTTGTTGGAATGTTGTACCGGTACATGTAGATCTTGGTCTCAGGTGAGGCTCTATGCACCTGCCCCAAAGTACCGGTAGCACTTCGAGTTTTTTCTTGCCATTTATCAGCCTTATTCTTGTTATTACCGGTACATGGAATAGTTTACACAGGTACCGGTAGGTGACTTGGGATGAAATGACATTGAACTGCTGTTTGCTAAACTGTGTTGCATGGTGGGGGGTGAGGTTGGGACCAGTGGAAAGATAGTTGGTCTTCTGCATCCCTGCTCATTTGCATCTGGTATTTTGGCCATGTATTGATGGTGGCTAAGAGACACTAACTGCTTAAGGATGCTCATTTTTAGCATTCGTTTACATACCGGTAATTTTCCAACACGAAACTGTTCTGTACTCCCTCCTTGTTTTGTTTGGAATTAACTGGCGAAGACAGATCTCAGCAAAAGTGCAATCACCCTCTTTCCATGGCAACATCATGCAAATGTGTTGACTCTCTGCGTGTCCATTAAAGGTATCCTTCCTTCTTTGTCTTTAGTCCTTGCCGAGTATTTGCATGCCTGCAGACTTCCCCGCATCTCCCCTTGTCCCCACTCTCAGACTATCCGTCAGACATTAACCCTATGGCCTCAGCCCCTCTCTATTACATCATCGACAGTACGCTGCCCCATCTCCCACTTTCCATGCAACCTCCCCCCCCGTGCTCTGTCTCCCAACCCCTGCCTCCGTCTCATCCTCCGCACATCCGTGCCTCATTCTTCACTCTTGTTTCTCCTGTTTCTCCCTCCCTCCCTCAAAGGTCCTTGCCCAGGTCTCTCTCACTATTTCAGTGAGTGGACTCTAAACAGCAATCGTGCCCAGTCTCACCCTGGCCAGTCGGTGACAACCTCTGATCATTTTCACAGACCCAGAGCTTCATCCAGTGTCTGATAGACATTTCCTGTGCCGAGAGACGCTCGGGGACCCACAGGTTTCCTCCATTCTTTCCAGTCTGTAATCTCAGAGGTTACTGCCTTGTAGATGAGATTAAGCAATCACGGAACATGGGTTAAAGAACCATGTGCTCTATCGTGAGCACTTGATCAGAAGTGTTTCAATCGGCAATCGTTTCAAACTGGTAACTTAACCTGCATGTTTGACAGGACACACTTGAGTTAAACATTACAGTGCTTACACAAATATTGATCAGACAAGAGGTGCACAAATGCAGAATCTGACTGGATCGTCTTGCAGAATGAAAAACTTTTGTACTGTTTACAAAAAACCAACATTGAACAACTGTACAATGTACATGTATGCATATTTGCACATGTATGGTATGTATTTTACTGTACATGTAGATGCCCATTTAGAACAAGTCAAGCATTCTTTATTAACCTTCCATCTGCTGTAACCGTCAAAAACAGTCAAAAATTCCTTCCACCATTGTGTCCACTTGATTTGCCCCTCTACACATACCCATACGTGACCCGCTCTGTGAAAATGAGTCTTAAGTCGGCAGAGCCACTTGGAGTACAAAGTCCTTTAGAATAATTTTGTACAGTGTAAATCAATAGGACCTCACAGCATTTTTCACCGTGGAGTATCCACTTTCATCAGGATGTCAAACAGAGTGATACACCAAAACAAAAA